AAGAGTTTCATTCCTGTCGTGAGATTAATTAGATCACCGAGACGCGAAGCGTCGAGGTTAGCTATGATCTCGAGACAGGAATGAAACTTCCTACCGAGGTTTGTATACTATTTTATTTACAACCATCATATTTCGATCAAAATTAATAAATCTCTGTTTCGTTCTGAACATACCTAAAATATTACATTTAACGACAAATTACCAAGCGCGCGGTTTTCTAAGAATAATCAAGTAGGTAAATATATTGTTACTGTGATTACGGGGTAAACAACTGTCACCAATATAAATAAATGTCAGATAAACCCGGATATTAAATTCGCGAATAATAAATATCCTACAACATCACATACACTTGGTGATTGGTTCATGGCCCAAATCTTATATAATAAATAATAAATATTTCTTCACTCATAGTTTACATCTTATTACCTATACCCTGTCATAAGTTTATCCAAGAATTTTTCGTTAGTACTTACCACCACCTGTAGAGGCCTTAACTTGACAGGTCTCCTTTCAAAAATGTTAGATTTTTATAAAAAACATCAATGTTGCTTAAAATAGGCCTTATCTTTTAATCTGTTTAATGTATGTGATTTGTTTTTGTATAGTCTTGAATATTTTAAAAAAATTTTAACTGTTTATATCGACTAATATTTGTTTTTCAAATATTTTTAACTTTTTATAACTTGTAACATTGTTTTGTTTTACAATTTATTTCATCCCCCACGTTTTGATGAAACTTGTCTGTAGTATTCCCTAGTGGATGGAGAGTATGGTGAGTTTTTCTATTTTTTACTATTTTATATATTGTGGGCTCAAAGTCAACACACCTTACACCACATATTCTCCTTTCCACTAGGCGAGCCTGAAGATGAAGTGATGATACTTCGAAACCGGTCGCACTCAATGTTTTGTTGAATAATTAAACATTGACTTTCCTTGTGAGATATAAAGGACTTTTTCTCCCCCCTTCACCTTAAAAATAAATATCAATAAGTAATTTGTTATATTTTAGTTCATTGTTGTTTTTTATTGTTTGCCATTAAATAGGTATTATAAAATTTGTCAAAAAATGTGTTATTTTTTTTAAATATAAAAAATATTCATCTAGAATAGATAAAATGAGGGCGGGAAGTAGAGGTGTGTAATGTGACACTTCCCAACCTTTAATAACGTTAGTAATGACAACATTACATATACAGTTGTAAATAAAAATATTTACATTTTTTTGCTTTTTCTAATCTGTGATTAACAGTGTTATTTAGTATGTATAGGTAGTAAATATTTTACAAATTTTAAAATTTGTGGCATGGAAAACTGAAAAAGAAAACGAAATGAAATGTTCTATGGGAAAACGACAGGAGCAAAAATAAGAAGCGGGTATAGCAAAAAATATTATTCATGTCACAGATCATATATTCCACAGAAATGCAAAAACATTACAAGAACACCTTCTACAAAAGCTAAAAGAGGCCTAGGCTTTATTAAATTAACATATTCGTGTCCATCTACTATAGAGGCCATTATAAAAGATGGGAAGTATAAAGCTACAATTTTTTCCCCATTGCGGACATGACAGTTCTTTGAAACATATACATTTGTCTACCTTGGAAAAATCACAAATTGCAGGTTTGTTTATTTATTTTTAAAATGTTACTGTGATTTGTTAACCCTTTAGAATACAAATTTTCATAAATGTTATTTTAGGTAAAACTGCTGAGGGTGTATCTTTTCAAAGAATTCTTGATGATACTCGTAACAACGTAAAGTCAAATAGTGAATTGGAAAGAGTACATCTGTTAAATAAACAAGATCTTAGGAATATTACTAGAGATTTCAACCTAAGGCATCAGTACCATAAAAATGATGTAATAAGTGTGGATTTAATGATAAGGCATATGGAGACCTTAAACGATGATTGTTCAATCCTTTTCTATAAGAAACAAGGTGTGAAAAGTGACTTAAAACTTTTTGCTGAATCAATTTTTTCTTGAGTGTAATGACTAGTTTTCAAATATCTATTGCAAAGTTGCTAATAAAACAGTCTGTATAGATTCTACGCATGGGACCACTGGATATGATTTTCTTTTAACTACAATTTTAACAGTAGATGAGTTTGGAGAAGGTGTTCCCATAGCGTTTTTACTTTCCAATATAACAGACACTCCTACTTTGTGTTATTTCTTTGAACTAGTCAAGCAGAAAATAGGGTTTTGTTTAGAGATAGATGTGTTTATGTCAGACGATACCATAGAATTCTATAATGCTTGGTCACAAATCATGAAACCTCCGAAACATCGTTAACTTTGTGTTTGGCATGTCGACCGAAACTGGAGGACTAATATTCTTCAAAAAGTTAAAGGAGACCAAGAATTGAAAGCTTCTGTATACAAACATTTAAGATGTTTAATAGAAACTCAAAATGAGGAGGAATTTAAAAATTTATTGCTACAAGTTAAAAATAGCTTCTGAATCAACACAATTATTCGGTAAATATTTTACTGAATTTTATGCTAGAAGATCACATCAGTGGGCATTTTGTTTTCGGAGAGGTCTTGGAATTAACACAAATATGTTTTTGGAGTCGATGCATAAGATATTAAAACATATTTACTTAGAGGGAAAGAAATCAAACAGAGTAGACAAATGTATACAAGCATTAATGTGCATGGTTCGAGACCAAATGTTTAAGCTTATTAAAAAAGTTATTTAAAGACAATCTTCTTATAGAATTAGTTTAATCCACAAAAGTCTTCGAGAGGGATATCATATACAAAGAAAACATATTTTAGTTATATCTGAACTACATTGGAAAGTGAAATCTACAAAATATGTAAATGAATATGTTATCACAAAAGAAAATTATTCTTGTGAAGAAGAATCTTGCAAATTATATTGCAGATTTTGTGATATTTGTGTTCATATTTACGTCTGTACTTGTTTGGATAATTTTATTAGAGGAAATATCTGTAAGCATATTCATGCCATATGTTTTAATATGAAGATGGAGTCGACTGATGTTAATAATCCACAAGTTACAGAAAATAATGAAGAAGATAATTTATTAACGTTTGCATCTCAGCATATTAATTTCGAGAGTAGAGTCTAACTCTAGACTCAAAATGAAATTGAATCTCATATATAAACACATTTCTGAAAACAATTATGATGAGAGCATTAATTCAAAGATTGAATTAAATTTAGATAATCTTATAAATATTGTAAATATACAGAAAAGTTCATTGCCAAAAAACACATTAAAAGAACCTACTAATAAAAATGTTGACAAGCAACCAAGATTTAAAAGCACAAAGAAAAAGAGAAAAGTCCCTAATTTTAATTTGGAAAAACCATCCTGTGCAGAGAAAACAAATATTAAAAAAAATTGGAACACCAAAAGGATATTATTATTAAGAACATTAAGAATGATCACAGTTATTAAGAATAATTTTTACAATTAATATAAATTAAAAATGTTTATAGAATATTTTTTGTTTTTAAGCTATTATATAGCTTTTATCACGGGCTTTGAGCGCGGCGACCAAATCAAGAAATTCCGTAACGAAAATAAACCAAACACGCCCACTCCGACCGGCACAGCGGTGCGGCGTTGAAAGCCGTGCATCGTCTAACGTCGTTTCAGTTCGGCAGACTTCGTCACGGTGTTTGTGTGCGTACAACTAGACGTATGCGTGTAGACTAGCTGCTAACTGATTCTATCTCTTTTAGATACAATTTCGGAAAAATTGAATTTGAAAATGAATAATGATCCACAAGAATCTACAACAAAATATGGGACCACCATTGACGCGATATTTTCCAGATATTTATAGGATATCAAATCTCAAACTTATGTTTCTTATTTCAGTTTCCATAAACCCATAGTTTCAATGATAAAAATTCCTGAATAACCTACATGTATTGTAAGATAATAAAAATATTTTAAACAATCTCATTTATTTAATAAAAGAAAAAAAATTGTTTTCTTATCGGTCACCACGCTCAAAAAGTGTAACTTGAATTAATATCAAAGAAAAAACTTGAATTAATATCAAAGAAAAAAAAATACTGCATAAATAAAATAAATAAATAATTATAATTGCATAAGTTGATAAAAAATGCTATGCAATAGCTTTACCGCGGCAGTCCCCGAGTGCCACATGTATTTTTTTGGTGAGATATTCCCTTCCCTATACCTAAAAATTGCTTAATTTTAATACATTTTAATTATTAGAAATTGATCAATATAGGTACAAATTAACGTAATCAGATTAGTTATTTTTTTTTTTTAATTTTATTTACTAAACTTAAATAATTTGTTTTTCATAACTCATTTCTCTGTCTATTTCTACTCTAGCATTCACTAAAAAAAAAACAAAATCAAAAATGATTTAAATTAGTTAAATGTCACATTTATCACATCTAATTAATATCTTTGTCACTTGGAGCGCTACAGTCATGTGCCGTCCTGGATTGACCGCCTTGTGAAGTAGTAGCTGTTGCAATTTTGTTGAATGAGTTGGAGGAGACTTTTGAGTGGTTTCTTGAGACATTTATTAGTTTTGAACCAAAAGACTTGTAAAACTAGTGTAGTAATGTCTAATAAGGATCATAATAATTAAAATAAAATAAAGTTTATAAAGTATTATCATTTATGAACCGACACCACTGAGAGGAAGAGAATCTGCTCTATTTAAAATAAGTGATAAAATATATTAAAAAGAAAGCTAGCCGAGGTAAGTTCAGATTATTGTATTCTATTTAAAACGTGAGGTTAAATAGAGAACATAACAAAATGGCGCCCAACGTGGGGGCACTAACCTGTCAAACTGATAACAAGAGGCGAAATCTGTCAAACTGGCACACGTGTTTAAATAAAAGTGGTAAAATAAGTATATTTGGTTGTGTTAAAATAATAGTGAAAAGTTGAAAAATAAATTAAAATTTAGTGCAATAATTGTGTATAAATAATATAATAATTAAAAATACTGTTAAATAAAATGGATCCAGGAGATGTATTTGATTGGAATAAATGGTATCAAAAGGAAAAACAACGATTTATTGCAGATTGTGCTGATGTAAATAAAAAATTAGAAGAAATGGAAAAGAAAACGGGAAAAGAATTAACAGAAATAACAGAAGGAATGTCAGTGACAGAAATGTTGCAAATGTTAATGGATACCTGTGAAAAATAAAACAAGATGAAAGAAACAATATTAAAAATTCTAAAATATTTATAAAAATATTATCAGTTTCCATCTTTTACTCCTATTAAGATTTTTAGTTTTATTTTCCTAATATTATCTTTATCTTTCTACTAGTTTTTATCTGCATAAAATGAACAAATCTCATTTTACGATTTGGTTCACTATCATTATATATATTCATTCCGTTTCCACCCGATACAATCCTAATCATGATATTGTAGGATATGATTGTAGCCATCAGGATTTAAATTTTACAACAATTAACTTAAATACAGTAGGAAAATGCTTAGACCTTGTATCAGAAACTTTTACACAAACAGAAGAAATTCAATTAGTAGAAATAGTTGAAGAAACCATGGTAACAGTTTATCATTGTCATGTGTTGATTACTAGGACCATTTTTCATTGCGGGATGCATTCCCATTCATCCATTGTATCTGGAGGATTTATGTCATATCCTTACAAAATTTTAGAAAAGCGATTCAAGTCAGCTGTAGATACTGGTGAATTATGTATTTTCTGTAATACTAGAGACCAGGTCAATTTCTCTAATCTCAAAAGTGGTCAGTGTCAGGAAACCTCATACATTTGCAGGATCAGTAGATGCTAATGGTGACTGTGAAGGGCAACTGTATTACGATGAATTTGGTTCATGGAGAGATGTAGTTGTAGAAGGATTTATACAGGTTAGTTTGAGTAAAGATGAAGTTATTGCTAACTTAGGCAAAGACATTATTCATTTGCCTAATCAACTGAGATGCAGTGCAAGTGATGAACACTGTATAGATGCTGTACAAGGGGAGTACTATTGGAAACTGATAAATGAAGGTACATGTAAAGAACAAAATCATGTAGTACTTTATGAAGGACTTGCTAATATCACCAAAGATGTAAAAACAAAACAAAATATAGCTGGATAAGAACATCCTGTTTTCTCTTAAAGTCCAGGCGACATATCCAATTTGTAATCTCATGGCATACAAAACTGAACATCCAAAATTAGTAATTATTAGAAAATCTGGGTTTGACTTTATCTATAAGAAATCATTTAAGAAACAACAACAAATGGATATGTTTACGTATTTTAATTCCAAATTTGTTTTTATAGAGAGAAATATCCGGGGAGACGGAAGAAATTTGATGGATTTTGGAAGGTTGTTAAAAATAAATCGGACGGGGAATCAATTTTTTAAAATACCTACATATAGAGCCTTCGGTACATTTAAAAAAGTTCTTTTTGAAAAAGTGGTAACATTGAAGTAACAAACAAAAATAGACAAGTTGTATCGCCTCGGTTGGATAGTAAAAATTTGTATGGTGAATCTGTTAAGAAGTATTGGAGCTGCAAACTTGAATGAATAAGAAATTCTGAATTTGGATGCGATAGTGATAGAAGAAAGGACAATTACTTGTGAGTAGAAAAATTTTTGTATTGATGTGAGATCGTAGCGGACAGTTTGCTATTGATATTACAATTCAGTAGTAGATATTTAATTTTAAAATTGATGCCAGACAGATGGATTGTTGTAAATTATAAAATTATTTAGAATAGTTATATTTTGAGGATTAAACGTCAAATTTTTTTTTGGAATGTCACTTTGAAACATAAGTATATTATGTAACATTTTAAAAATCTAATTATAAAATGTTATTTTAAATGTGTGCCATCCGGTATAATTTAATTATCGCTAGCACACAATATTCTAAAGAAAAGGAAATTTCTTGAAGTGGGAGTACCACTAACCAAACGATCTCAAATTAGATTTGTAAATTTCATTTTATTATTACCTTTTGATCATATCGGTGGTGCATTGGCTGTTAAAGTGGTAAGCATAAAAAGTATATAATGTCTTTATTAAATATCTCAGAAGAAATACTATTCAAACCTTCTGTTAATTATTAGTTTTTTAATAGTAAAGTTAAATATGTTTTTATGATTCATTCTGGTTGCTAGAACGGCACAATATGTATAGTCACTAGTTTTTATTATCTGATTGGTTAATTTTTTTAAAAAAGTAGATGTTTCAAATTTATATATCGTACAGAACCACGTGAAAAACAAAATCTATTTTTGTCTAACAAACGAATGGAATCAGCCACAAAGCCATAGAGCCATGACTCAACTGCCATAAATCAACCGCTGTAATCTGAACGTTGGTTCCCGAGGAGCAGAAATCTCTTGTGAAAAGCGACAGCTACAATTCGAAGCTTCATAAGAAGAAAGAGTAACCGACAAAGGCGTTGGTTTCCGAGGGGCAGAAATCTCAACTACCTATGGCTATCTAGAAGTGATTAGCTAACAAAGCAAAAATGTGGTAATTACTAGTGACTAGAATTATTTATGTACGAATCAAAATTTGATACCTGATAACTGTGAATAATTTGTTTTCGAAAAGGTTTCTTGTTTTTTAAATAAAATCATTAATTTTTATAAGTATATATGTTCAATCTTATTTTTTAAAGGTCACAAAAATTCTCTTTCATTCACTAAATTCTGTATAATTTTTATTAACTTCTTTTTATTGATAAAGCTAGAATTTATAATTCTCACTAGCTTTTAAAAATAAAAAAGAGAATTATTGGTGCCCAACATTTCCTAGAAAGATTACTATCCTTAAAATTGTCTATTTAAAAAGCCGAATTCACGACAGAGAAAAGTATGGTCAATATGCTCATTTATTTTTTTTTAATTTTTAAGGTAAGTAACATTTGCTATTAAATTTCACTGAGCTAGTAGAAATCTCTATAAGTGTTTTGAAATTACATTTATCAAAAGGGTAAACTTATATAAGATTAACTTTTTTTTTTTTAAAGAATTTTATTTTACAAGAATATTTTTGTACATAGGTATTGCATTTTTAAGTAGTTGTCGATACTATCAATAGTCGTTCCTACTGATAGTTTTCGATAGTCTCAAGAGTTACTAACTATATAGTACTATCGAAACTATACCAATGTTGATAAAATGGTTGATACATAGTAAAGTAATACATTTTACATACAGTTGAAATATTAAGTACCCACTTATACCTACTTTTTATTAAAAAAAAATATTTGAAATAAAAAAATGTATATATAAAGAAAACAGCAAACAGTAGGTAAGCAGAGACATAAGAAAACAGGAGGAAGCAGGAGGTACATTTGTGGCGTGCATATATGATAAAAAATTGGTTAGAGCAATCTTTAAAACGGATTTATGATCTAGTGCTGAATTGCTGAGTGCGTTCTTATAAATTGGTTTATTTTTCATTTTTTTCGATTAAATTCCGTGAAAATAAACTCTAAAAACACTAAAAATATGCAAGTTTAAGCTATTGATGATAAAACAATCGATACTTTTTCGATAGTAACAAACTATCGATAGTATCAGACCACTATTTTAAAGAAATATAATTTAACTTTATTAATAAGCATGCTCCTTTTGTATAGCTTTTATTTCACTTGGTAGATTATTGTAGGTTATTGAAGCATCTACAAAGGGATTAAACATTTGCCCAAAAGTGGCGAGTTAATATTCGATATTTGTTCTTTATTTTGTACACTGTTAAATTTTTAATAAACTGTGTAATTTAAGCTTGTTTAATTGCTCTGCTTATTTTTGGATTTAAAAGGCGCATACGATTCAGTGAACTTAGGAATTTTATTTAATAAAATGACTAATTTAGGTATTGATGGAAGAACAGCTTATAACATTTATGAGATTTTTAATGGCAGAGAAATATATGTCAGGAACCATTTCAAGGAATTATATGGGCCGAAATTAGTATACAAGGTTCAATACTAAGCCCCATGCTGTTTAATATCTATACGTCAGAATTGCATAACAAATTAAATAACAATAATAATAATATCAAGTTGGTACAATATGCAGATGATATCTGTAAATATACCAGTCGTAGGAAATATGAGCAATGCTTAAATGATTTTATAAGTGTATTACATATAGTAAAAGAGTGGTTATTTGAAATGGGTTTCACAATGTCGCCGCAAAAATCTGCTTTTATGTGCTTTACAAGACACCGTCAATGTACAAGTACACATAAACAGTTATTAGATTTAAAGATACCTGTTCTGCCGTCCAACGGAAAAACACCGTATGTTATGATTTCCTAAGTTGAGAAAACAACGTTTAAAAATTTGACTACATTGACATTGTACTAAACTACAGATAATTTTAATATAAAGCATAATACACGACTAATATAAAATATTAGTTAACTGGTTACTAATTTTTATAAAATGTATATCAGTTTTTTTTTTAAATATTTTTTTTCTAAACATACTTACATATTTATTAGCAAAAATGTTTTCGTTCCTAAGCATAACTACCGTAAGTTACAAATAATAGACTTACGATAATCCGATATAAAAAATGAAGTTAAAATCTCAGCCATAAACACCGTATGTTCTAACATACGGTGTTTTTCATTTGAAGAGCCAGATGTATTAAAAAAAAAGTTAAATTAAACACCGTAAGTTTATTGGGGTTATTTTTTATATTGTACTTATTTCACTAATTGCACAAAATATTGCATTATAAATATTAAAAACAAAAAGGAGCAAAGAAACAAATTTTATTAATAACGTCGCAACTGGCCGTTTATTCATCTTCAACCGTGCTAATTAGATTTTGAGAATTGCTTACAGGAAGATTTTGCCAGAATGATATTTTATGTTTCGGAATTATGGAGGACAAGTTGGTGAGAATTTGATTTTTTTTCACGATCAGTACTATGATTTTCAGGATCTTTTAAAGTAGTATTATTTTTTGAGAGCATATTTAATTCCTGATAATCATCATCTTCAGAAGACGTCTTAAAATACAGACATTTGGAGCCTCTCCTTGCTTCCAAAACTGCGATATCTTTTAAAAGAGGTCGATTTTGATTAAGCTTTTGTAGTTGATAGTTGGTTGTCAGGATAGGCCAATGCTTAAAATCAGAAAAATTCATTTCTTTGGCATAGCTGCTTTTTGTACTGTTTTGTACAGCATCTGAAAAATCTTGGAAATCGTAAATCTTGGGGTTTTCTTTCATACTCTTTTCTTTCTTTCAACTAAATGGTGAAAACTGTCAGCTGACATAAATGTGTGCCCTGGTTCAAAATATTTAATTATAAGTTTTTCGGCAGCAATGTGATCAGAATTGATTATATAAATTAAATAACTCAAAAAGCACCAGTTTTTATTTTGAGAGCTGCAGTTATCAGCCCACAAGCAGACATATTTTTTATCTCTGGTATAACTTTTCAAAAAAACATTATACGCACTTATTATGTCTTCTTTTTTCCGGCCTGATATGCATTCATGCCAAAGAATAGCTACAGCTTTATTTTTTTGTGTAAGGGAGCCCAAGGGAACAAACGACTGATTAAAAACAATTATTCTAGGAGTAAAGATGACTTGTTTAAACATATCGATTCTTGGTAACATTATTACCTTTTGCATGTCAGTAGAATAATATAGTGACTCATCATCGTCAATTTTCTTTTTGTCACTTCTATATTCTTTTCTGGACATTTCAGCCTTTTTTATATGCTCCAGCCACTGCAAGCATTTGTCACAATCAGTATTCTGGTCCGCATTCTGTTTAGTATGACCATTTCCGTGCAACAAAAACGCCTCACATTTTTCGCATTCCTTAAAATTTGAAAACATCTTAATTACCGTGACGTCACTTGGTAGGTACAATTTATCAGGTGCATGCTCACGCCTATAATGTGATACACAAGGATAGAATTTTTTAATGTGAGTTTGAATTATGTCTCTGTCCACCCTCTTTTTTGTATAAGACCCACGTCTGTCCTTAGTGGGTGGACTGCTAATATTTCGTAATATGGAATCGTTGTTTCCTGCATATCCCAGAGTCGTCAAAAAGAAGATTTTGCAAACTTCCAATCGTTCACCATCTTCTTTTTTAAGAAAATATCTCTTTGATGAATGTTTTCTAGAGTCATTTGTGTAGCCTGGACGTCTAGTTTTTACAGTGGACACGTCTATAAAATGACTTAAAAAAACTTTTTGATCTGTAAAAGATTTTTTCCAGTACTTTCTATTAACTTCTAAGCGCCGAGCCTCTCCAATTTGGACTGAACACCGTTTTGTACACTTACATGGGGACTTGACTTCGTGTTTTTTTACTCTATTTTCAAACAAAAATCTCTTCCTCTCCTTTTTTGATGTCACATACTTTTTTCGTTTTCTAACTTCTCCATTTTTTGTTAATGATGGTTCTATATCCAAAAGGTTTTCTAAAAAAAATAATACAAAATTAAAGTTATTTTCTCTCAATTAATCGACTTCCCGAATTACCTGCGTTAATGTCTTTAGCACCTTCGTTTTGTTCCTTGTTTATGTTGTTAAAATTTTGGTCACCAAGAATCTCTAAAATATAAAAAAGTAAAAAAAAGATCAAAGAATAAGTAAAAGACCAAACATACGTTCTTCTGGTGCCTTGATATTTACATCTTGTGAGTCTTTTATAAGATTTTCATCCTCCAACAATTCTAAAATATCAAAAATAAGTTAACATACTTAGAACTTAAATTGAACTCTCTGTCATTTAGTAAAACACAAAAATACCTTCTTGTACATCCATGACATTGTCGTCTTGTGACTTGTTGCTAGAAGTATCTTTTTGTATAGCATTTTCGTCTTGTGACTTAATACTGACCTCTTCATTAGTTTTATCTCCCAAAAACGCTGAAATATAAAAAAAATTGTTAAAAAGTCAAAACTAAGTTATACTCTCTAATATATTTAGTAAAAACATTCATTTTAATATTTTATTAAATATCTCAAAAATATCTCTATCAAATTGAATCACTGATTTCAGAAACAACCTAAGTCGCAAATGATGTGTTTAGAGATAATTAGCGAAAACTATCTAATTTCCCTAATTATTTTTATATGAACTTTAAAATAACCCATAAGTTAAATTAGTATCGTACCTTCAAAAAAATCGTAAAATATGTAAAAGCCAATTATGTTAGGAAAGGTCAAAAGGTCAAATATCACATGGACTTAGGTGGTTTCTGCATCAAATAAAAATTACTACATATTTTTCAAAAAATTTATTAAAAAATAAACTAAAATTATAACTGTATGTAACTTAAACATATAAAACAATAATTAAACATCCTTTGCAACTGTCGGCCACTCCAAAATTTCCCTCCAAAAGCTCTGGACTTCTTCATTTTGACCAACAAACGTGTAAGCCTTCTTTATATGCTCCATTTTTTTGTCAGAAATAGGATTTTTTCCGTTGGGAATAGCAGATTCTTTTGGAAAATCAATAGTCACCACACCCGGCAGTAGTAATGGAAAGGTATGTTCTATAATTCCACCAATATAATCCTTCGCAACAATAACACCTTTGCCATTTTCTTCTTTAAATAGAAAGTAATGAAATTTTGAAATATTGAAGCGATTTTTTGCACTTCTGGGTACTGATCTGGCTGAGGTTTCCACTGAAATAACATCCTTTTTAAAGTATTTACCCCACCAGTTGCGAAAGTCTTTGATTTGTGAGGAATTTACATGATGAACCGTAAAATTATGTTTAACTGAGGAGCTGACTATTATCTCAATATATTCCTTTGTAGTGTAGACTCTGTCTATTTTTTTTAATTTTCGTTTTATGACACCAAAATCCCTATCAGACGGCAAAAACGAATGTCCACGAATAGGAAAAAAAAATTCAACCTTTGCAAACCGACCAGAGCTTACAAGAGCTGAACAAAATCGAAGAAAAACATGATTTTTATTTTGCCCTGGGCAATTATCGCAAAACAGATGTAACTCTGTAATGTGGTCACCAACGTAGCTGATAATATACTGCAACAGGAACGAACAAACTTCATTTGGGCTCTTTCTTGCGTGCCCTTCATGGTACAGGAAAAAAACAGCTTCATCTGTTTTCATATTGTGCACACCAAACACACTCACAGTGAATTGACTTAAATAAAATAAGTCTTGAGCAGGACATCGAGGCAGCTGCAAATTTTGCATGTAATCAAACGAAATTGCAAGGACGTTATCTTGATTGCGACAAGCCTCTTTGGAGGCCTTTAAAGTATTATAGAATTTCTTAGATCGTCGTTTGTGAACCATGAGTTCTGCTGCAGCAACCCTTTTTGACGTGTCGTTAAGAGATTTGTTTTTTAGCTTTAATGCGATCGTCTCACACTCGTTACACACATCTACCTGTGGTCTCCCGAATGATAAGTTGAAATTTTCCCTGAAAATTTTATTATAGTACTCATACTTGATTTTTGATGTTGGATTCTTTTCCAGGAATAAAGAGTACATTATTTTCACGTTTAACTCTGCATCAAGGTAGTTAAATTCGCGAGCACCATAATGCGTTTGTTTGACGGGGAACATGGAAATATGTTCAGTAACCAAAATAATTTCTGATGGTTTCTTAGCGTTACCACTCCTTTGTTTTCCTCTCTTGTCAATTGGGGTACATCCAGCTTGTAGCAGTCGTCTAATTCTCTTTACACGTTCGTTTGAAACACCGTACAAACCACAAAATGCATCTTTGCAAACCTCTCTTCTGGCGTTGCCAACTAATATGTTATAAGAAAAAGAGCTACCTCTATTCTTTGCACCTTCTTTACGTGGTCTCCTGCGTTTAATTTCTTTACAAATTATCAACCCTTGTAGAAATACATCTTGCTCGTTCTTAGAGGATATCTCGTAAAACTTTTTAAATATTTCTTCTTTTTCCACATCGATAATTTTTTCGGTGCATCTTTTTTTACAATCACAAGCTCTTGGTAGCCTAGCAGGAACTATCACATTTCCGTAGCTAGTATAACATTCACCTTTAACCCGAGCTTTCTTGATTTTATTTCTTTGGTACAATTCGTCGTTCCATGTCCTTTTTTTAATAGTTGTCGATTGTTCTAATTCAGTATCACTCATGATGCTAAAACGATACAAATTCGTTAATAAAAAAACGATTTCAAACCTTATTTTTTACATACCTTTTTAGTCAAAACACTATTATACACTGCTTGGTCACTTAAATACAACTGCACGCAATCACCGTTTACAACAAAATGCATCGAACAGACGATTTTAGTCAGGCAGAGCCATCTGCCAATAGAAACGATGAGCGCGCGAATGAGTGCAGAATCAACTTAAGTCACGGACTAAGGGTGTTTCTGCGCTCAGCCTATATTGTCGGGACGTATAATATATTATTCACGTATTGGACTTCGGTTGTTTATGTGCTCAATTAATAGGTCTACATATTTTGAACGACTTACCGTATTTAACTCAAATATGGCCGAAAGTGGACTTAGGGTGTTTCTGTAATCAGTGATTCAAATATTAAATCTTACCCTCATTAATGCTTTTTGAAAAATCACCAACATGTAATATTTGACATAATTCACTTGAACTGATGTCGACAGAATTTTCATCAATAAAACAATGTGATATTAACGGCTACATGTTTTCATCTACCAACAAGATATCACTGATCCGGAAGGTATCGTTTTCAGTCTCACTACTGTTTCGAGAATTTTCCTCTAAATCACTTTGAGAACTATTTAAGGCCTGGAGGACCATTCGTTTAGATCTCGACCCCATTTCGTTTGTAAATTATAAAAATACCACAAAAACAAAACAATGCATGCGTACTTGCAGACTACTTAAACGCAACTGAGGACTGAGGAGCTGATTTCGCTCTAATAACTAGCCAAGAACACCGTACGTTAAAACATACGATACAATATGTAATTTTTTGGAGTGAGGGTAGCCATATGTGAGTAGTAGGGATTAAGTGTAAAGGTTAAAGAAAAGGTCCTTTATTTCTCACAAGTCAATTTATTGGCGACCGGTTTCGAAGTTGTCACTTCATCATCAGGCACACCTAAATGGAATGTCAAGGAGTCAGTTGTAATAAAAACAATTATAAAAGCATGAACGGACTTTAACATATACAAAATAACAGAAAAAACACAAAAGAAAGTTAAACAATAACCTTGACTCACCTTGACTAATTCCATAAAGGAAGCGCTACAAAAAGTTTAACAGAACGAGTTAAAAAAGTCATGTGTAATAAGTATTTTTTAAAAAAAATTTTTAATGTAGGTTAGGTTAAACCACCAGATGTCTTTTTGAATAAAATAATTAATTAAAACACATTTAAGACAATTATTAACTAAACAACACAAAATAGTTTTACAAGCACAAACAGTTTAAAAATTTTTAAGGAAATAATGTTAATTACTGAAAGTAAAAAGTAAAAAAGTAAAAATTATCAGACTGTCAAGACATCTATCTAGATTTTTAACGAATCAATGCAGTAAACTGTAAATTTTAAATTAGCGGATAAATAGTGTACTAACGGAGGTGTTATTTACTGAAAGTGAGTATAGGTGGCGATGACAAAATTTATTGAAAGTAAAATATATTAAACTGAGAATGAGAAAGCAAAAAAATTTTTTTATACTAACAAGAAAATTAGAACACTAAACAAGAAAATATGAAAATTCATATGTAAAAAGGGAAATTTGAAGCAGATAATCAAAAAGAAAATTACTGTTACAGGAAACGGAAAAAAGGTTGACAGTACGAATGTCAAAAAAGAAAAGTCAAATTTTGGCGTATGACAACCACGTGGGAGAATTCAAATTCTCCCACGTGCATAATATTACTACCCAGGTAGCACCTGACGTCCATAAGTCGTCCGTAAGACGTCAGCGCATTCGTCTAAGGGACGCCTATTGAACGTCCAAAATGACGTCTAAAAGACGCAGTAATGTCACATCCAAAAGACGTCATATAAATGACGTCTTTCGGACGTCATATAAATGACATCTTTCGGACGTCTATTTTTTAAAGAATTTGACCTCATCCAGACCAATATGTCGGCAGGCAACTGACGTCCAAAAGACGTCATTTAGACGTAAACGCTTGGACGTTCATAAAAGCCTTTAGGGTGCGCATTTGATTTGATTAGCATAAGTACAATGTATTTATACTTTATCTATTTCTAATTGAACTAGTACAAAAAACTGTAGCCGACATTCCCTTTGAACTTTTGCCCCGAGGCACCAACATGCCGGTGGCTCTGAGCAAAGGTTTAAAGCGAATGTCAGCCACAGTTTTTTGTAGTGGTTCAATTAGAAATAGATAAAAGTATAAATATCAATACAGATAAGAAATAATACACGAGTTTCTGAAAAAAAAAAATGTATGTTGGTGAAAAAGCATCTTCCAAATAAAAGAGTAGAAATATATTATAATTTTTTATTTTAAATACATTATAAAAAACTCATTAATACAAAAACTATATGTCCTAAAACTACCCAACAAAATTTCTTTGGGCGATTCTGCATATTAAAAACAATAAATATGTTGTTTTTTTTAGGAATTAAATCTCCAAGTAGATAGACACCTTGTAGAAGTGGGGAAAAATCAAATTGTACTTAATACAAATTATGTAATAGAGGAAATGTTATAAAATTCTTCTTTTTATCAATTAATTTATTTGGAAACAAAAAGCATTTGTTCTTAATATCTGAAACAGACCAACTTTCAAACATCTGTGATAAATTTGAAACAACAAATATATCTAGATCTTTGGAATCAAGTGGGTAAACATAATATGACTCATAATTCAAAAACTTTTTTCCTATTAGGAAGATATTTCCATCTGTGGTAGTGCAAATATTATTAATCTCAGCAACATCTCCAGATTTTGTCATAAAGTAAGAATTTGCAAACGAATGGTTTGTAACACTTAAAGTAAAGTTTTTTGAATTGTTTTATAGTATTTAATGTCAGAACAGGACCTTCATTATGTTCAATATTTAACACATAATGATCTTCAATTACTTTTGATTTCGCATACAAAAAGTTTCTTTCAATCAATCTACGATCAATTTGTTGCAATGGTTTTTGTGGAGATCTAACACAACTTTTAATAAAACCCAAAAAATTTTCAAATGGGAAGGCTGAGAATGAGTCCAATGTTCCAAATTTAGTACATTCATTTGCTAGGTGGCATAAAACATGTGTGTTATAAACATAAAAATTCGAACCATATATGTACTCACAATGCTCAATAAAAGTATTTAGTATTTTGTGTGCATTTTCAGCTCCAAAACATGATAGATGCATGTCTGAAACAAGTAAAGTAATACCGACGTGCAATAATAAAAAATGTTCAAAAACTGAAATGTCAGTATTATCCTTAAGGACAAATGGCCCAAAATATAACAAGAAATTGCGAAACTCTGTAGCTTTCCAGTAAGATAAATCTGACAAACTCCTGGGTTTTCTATTAAACTCTGCAGGAATAAAGGGTCTTAAATAGAGTAAGTTTTCACTCCACAATGCAACAGTTGCATGCCTTACTCGGATTTGTAAACCTCCTGATATCCAGGAAACAAGCATTTTCTTCATTACACCTAAGCATACAGCATGCATATAATCAATGGTAAAGGTTGAAACTAGGCCTATTTTTAAATCAAGCAATGGAGTTTTTTCCATATGATGTTCTGTGTCCTCTTCTTTAACAAACTGTTCATCAGTCCTTAATGAACTAGAGGTACCTTTAAATATAACTTTTCCTCCTGTGTGACTGTAATCACCAAATTCCCAACATTTGTCACAAGAAGAATATCCTCCATGAGACTTGATACCTTTAATGTAAGCTTTAGCAGGTGCATCACAAATAAAATTTAAAATTTCAACAGAGTAATTCATATGCAATATGAATCCAGAAATTCTTAAATCAATCATTTCATCAATAAATTTTTTCAAAAATTTTTTTAATGGTGATGGCTTACTATTACCATAGAATATACCTATGACAAATGGCGAACTTGCAAAGTTTCTAATCAAACCTAAAATAGGCCAAAACTGAAGTTTTGAGCTAGAAAAAAGAGGTATTCCATCAATATTAATACTTAATTTAATTTTTTCGTCTTTGCATGAAGAATGTATTAGATGTATTAAAGCATTTTGAATTCCAAAATGACAGTACTCACCATTATCTAAATTCTGAAAGACTCCAAATCTGGGAGTTTTTAATAGTGACCTACTATCTAATGGAAGTTCGGGATGCAAGGGTTTTAAAATTCTTAACAGGCTAGTTATAGAAGAATGTGAAGCTTTTGATTCCAGTGCCCATTCTTGTAACTGAGTATGTAAATCAGGTTTCATTAAAGCATTACTGTTATCTAATGAGACGTTTGCTGAGCATTCACCATTTAAAGTATCAATATCTGGTATTGAGGAATTAAAATTACTTAAAGGTTCAACAATATCAGATATTTCATTAGACTGAAAGTTATTTTCACTTGGAACATTTCTAAAATTACTGACAGGCTGAGAGCAAGAACTTTCTTCAGCACTACTTGCTTTTCCTTCGCAATTCTTCGATACAGTTGTCTTTTGGAAATATCCAACTTTAATTTTTTGTGTTTAAACATTTTAATTCAATAAACCAAAAATAATACAAACGTAAGTGAGAAAAAACTATTCAGATGGAAACTTTTTTAAATATTTCCATGCAAAAAAATCAAATATAATACAAACGTTAACAAGTGAGAAGAAAAACTATTCTATTCTGATGGAACTTTTTTAATTTTCATTCTATCTGGTGCGTGCTTCATCCATGTTTTAATAGTATCCTCAATTTCAGTAATCGAAGCACCTTCAATTTTAGATTGAAGTGATTCTGAAAGTAAGAGAAACAGTCATCACATGGGCAAGAATTACACAATTTTTTACTCAAATAACCTTCCTCCTATTATTTTTCAAGAAGTAGTTATCTAAATTTAAGAACCTTACCTATAATTGCCTTGTTTAGACAAAGTTCCGAAAATGGTGCTTTACCCCTCTTTCCAAAATAACTGAACTGACTTGCTAATTGGTTAGTCAATAGGTGCCTTAAAATTTTATGAATCTTAGTTTTTAGATTGTTTCCTCCAATGCAACCCAGGTAATTTACCTAAAAAGTACAAGGTACACTTACATGTAATAGTAGTTTGTACCACAAGTGCACAAAGTGATACTTTCCCACGACCATTGAAGTTTGCAAACATAAGCCAAAGGGCAAGTGTTTTGTAAATCAAGTGAGTTCTCTATTCTGCAAAATATTAAAACCCATTGGCGAACGTTAAGGGGGTATTTACAAGGTATGAGCATTTAAAAAAAATCGTAAAAAATAAACTGATTCAAATATAATTTTGAATATAAGTAAACTAGAGAGACCTGCTTAATTAGAGTAAACTCATTGGTTTACATTAAGGGTTTTATTTTAGTTTAATACTTTGTACAGTAGAGTAATATTTTTTATAAAAAAATATAAAACCCATTGATTGGTGTACTTACCAATATTTTAAAATTACTTTCATTTTCTTTCAAAAATACTTCTACATCCTTCAAATCATTTTCTTTTCCTATTGGAAGATCCACTGGTAAAGGGTTTTTTATAGGGTTACAAATTTCAAAAACTTGTGAACCTTTGTTAAATACAAAGTTTTCTATATTTCCAACCTTCTCCAATAGGATTTTATTCTGCTCTTTTATGGTATTAAGTATATTAACCAATGTTCCCAGATCTAAAAAGTGTTCGCCAAAAATTTTCAAAAATCCTAGGTAGTTTATTTAAAAAATATATTTACTTGAATCTGTTATAGAGGTTTGTGCAGATGCAGATGCTCTAGATGCCTTAGGAGTTGAGGGTAAATTTTGAGGTGGGGTGACAGCAGTGGTTCTAGATATTTGTCGCTTTTCTATAGCACCTAAAATAAAAAACAAACCTTTTTATCAAAGAATGATATAAAAATATTTGTGACATACACAAAAAAAAAATATTTTTTCCATCAAAATGAATGTTGGAACTGTTGATCTAAAGTACCTACTAGCTAGATGTCTTATAATGAAACATAATTGATTTTGGTTTGTGGAAATACAAAAAATATTTGAAAAATCTGTTGAAATGATAAAATCTTTCAAGTTCAAATTATAAAATATGTATAATTATTGCTATAATTCACCTGACAACTTCTTTATTTTGATCTGTGGAGGTCTGGAATATCTACTCTCCTCATCACTATCATCACTATCGGTTAAAATAACCCTCCTGATGATTCTCTTTGTGGGTCTATTACTTGCATTGTCGTCTGTGTCATTGATGTCACTAAAGTTTTGAGCCTCCTTCTCTTTACGGAAAGCCTTTTCTATATCATCTAGATAAAATACATTTTGTTAGGAAGTTTTCATATAATCATAATATGTAAAACAGTATCTTGTAGTTTAGGTAAGTATCCCAAATATTCTAGGTTATGAAGAGAATGTCAATGTGATGCATACAGCGTTGCCAACAAGCTGTAGTGGATGTATTTTGCAAGAAATCGAAAAGAAACAAATTAATGAATATAAAAGATTTTTATCTAGTAAAAAATAAAATTCAATATCTCTTTTTGGTAATCTTGTAGTTTACGGTCCTTTTAATGCGCATGTCCGTACCATTCTGTACTGACGTCTAGAATTTGAATTTAACATGTACCATCCTTGCCAAACTTCCACTTTTATTTTAACGAGGTATTATAAAATAGCGGTTTGTTAATTGTCATCCTGTGTATTTTCTTGTACGTATCATTGTGTGTTATATTTGTATTTATAATTATTAATTTTTATTTTATTTTTCTAAGTATTGTTGTTTATTATTTTTTGTCGCAGTATTGTTGTGTTGTTTATTTACGTGTGGTGGAAACTTAAAATAAAATATTTAAAAGTGTGACCGTATTACATTAAAATCGGCCCGACATTTTTGATTTTTCTTTTTAAGGGGTTTATAATTGATGTAAAAATTGGTAAATAAATGATTAAAAGTAAAAGTTATATCAATTTTTTCCCTGATTTGAAATATTAATATAAACCTGGCAACCATGTAGTGATACCAGTTGTCAGAGCGAGTCAGAGCAGGAATGGTGCGGACATGCGCATTAAAAGGACCGTAAACTACAAGATTACCCTTTTTTTTATTCTAATAAACAACTTTTTCTAGGATTTTATAGTCAAAAATAAGTTCCAAATATCATTTTTTATCAGTTGTTCTGGATAACCAAGAAAAACTGACAACATATACCATGAAATGGAAATCACAGTCATTCTGAGTGCGTCAGCAGTTACGCAGAAAGCCGTAAATTTGGTTACCTTTACCTTAAACTGAAAGATTGCCTCCAAAAGTTTTATTTGAGGAATACACTTACCGGTTTGAAAAAATATCTTTTTTACCCCGTAAACTTTCCAAATCTCCGAATCCACTTCCTGATGCTCGGCCAAAGCGCGCCGAAAAATTCTTGTATCTTTCAGTGGGGGCCAGTAAACTTGTCTCTTCAAAGGAGTCAACCAGTTTTCATCTACAACTGCTACACTGTTATCCCCCGTTTCATCAAACTGAATGACATAATACATGGTAACAATGTAAACTAACACACACTCACTTAAAAATATAATCCTCATAGATAATCCTTAAAGCAGCAAAGCAGCTCAAGTCACAATCACAAAATCGGCGTCACCTTTACATGAACGTTCTTGCTGTCGTTTTTGCAAATTGGCGGTAATGTAATGGCGGTTGGCGGTTAACCGGGTTAGCCGTTCGTCGTTACTCGTTCGTATTCGTTGCCCCTGTACTCATCAAGACAGCGTTGCCGACGAGACATCTCATAAAATTTTGTTACAAATCCAAATAAGGAAACGGGTAACAATTTAATTACATTTATTATTGTAATCCTTTAATAAGTGCCAATATCTTTTAAATTCAAATCAAATAATTGCAGTAACATTTTAGTATTCAGAAAATAATTATTTAAATGACGATGTTAGCAATAATACTGAGAATATGAAAATTTTATAATGTGACAACAATGCGTAAATGTCAAATTAATCAATATCAGTATTACGTATAACTCTACTCTTTGGTATTACCATATTACCAACAAACCTTAAACCATTAAAGGCTCTAGGGATTGTTTTTCTCCATTTCATAGTTTCAACAAATAAAAAAAATTAAACTTGATGTTTTTAAAGATTTAAATTATTTGTCCACAAAAAGACGTCAGAAAGACGTCTCTACACTTGACGGCCAACTGACGTCACTTAGAATGACGTCCCAAAGACGTCACTTTTTGGTCCCATGACGTATGTGACCAAAAATGACCAATAATTGACGTTCTATTGACGTCATTTACGTCTTGGTGGCTACCTGGGTAATATTGCAATATCATACAACAAAAGTGTTTAACTACAAATGTTTGGAAGAACTATGTAATCATTCCTTCAGGTACAACTTGGATTTAATTAAGCACTTAAAAAGTAAGCATTCGTTCAAAATTGAGGATGAAGAAATTAAGACGTTTGCAAACTTAGAAGGTATATACCTATACTTACTTAAATAATTTAATTTAAATTTTAAGTTCTATCGTGGGTATCATTTTTTAGAATTTAGAGTGTGGAAAATTCAAATAGAAAATACAGAAAAGTGTAATTATGTGATCAATCGAGGAACCCAAAGACTAAGCTCTGGTGATAAGAAGACTAACTATGTGTGTAATCGGTCTGGTCATTATACAAAAAGTGGAACCAAAAAGGCTACTAAAACTCAAGGAACTTGTAAGCTAAATAGAGCATGCATAAGCCAAATGAATGTGACACTGAAATCCAATGGAAGCATTCTAGTTGAGAGACAAAAATCACACTATGGTCATTCGATGGATATTCAACACTTACGAATTTCTAAGGAAGAAAGGAATATCATAGCTAATAAACTTCTAGAAGGAGTACCCAAAAGAAGGTAATTTTTAAAAATATTATAATGGTGCCTAATTAATGATATTTATTTTTTATTTATAGGATTTTGGATTCATTTCGTACTAAAATAGGAACTGATATAAAGAGAGTGGATCTACTAACAGTGAAAGATATAGAAAATGTTGAACGAGACTTCAAATTGTGTGTCGAAAAGGGTGTTAAGCATAAAGAAGATGCAGTAAGCATTGATTTGTGGGTAACCGAAAACGGTCAAACTGAAAAAAAAAACAAGTTTTATTTTATAAGAGACAAGGTGAAAATAAATGATCTTTTAAGTGGCAATAAAGTAGAATTTATATCAAAAACCAGTAGTAACGATCATACATATACGTATTTAAATAAATAATTAAAGAAAGTTTTGTATTATTTTTCCAAATCTTTATCTTTGGCCTTTTTTGCCATATTATGAAAACACTCAATTTCTTGTAAATTGCTTCACACAAGGTAAATTTAATTAAAAGAGATAACAAGAGATTAAATTGCATCACTTTTGTGTTTCAAAGTAGAAACGAGAAAAAGCGCGGGAAAAAGACGACAAGTTTTCAGACATGCGCAGTGAAAGGATCACGACGCGGTATTGACGGTCTCCTGTGGACGGGGTCTTTCTCTAAAATAACGACAAGATAGTCGAGAGGGATTCGAAGGAACCCGAAGACTATCGGTTTTCTTTCTTTATCGAACTTTCGAGGAAGGAGGTTGACGTGGTTGCGTTGGCGAGTTCTTTTCTTAAAAAAGGTGATAATATAAATGGCTTCAGATATTATTCTGGGTAAGTAAATTTGGTTACCTGGGGCTTTTGATATAATCTGACGGGACGTTTTTTATATAGATTTGGGAAAGCCAGCCTAAACATGGGGAACTGGAGAAGCCATTAAGAAATTAAGGATGGCGGATATTTTTCCCAAGTCGGTCAATTTAAAAAATTATTAAATAAGATAACCTAGTTAGCACCTCCAATCACATGTTTCTTTCCTAATTTGAGGTTAGAAAATATTTCTACCATCATAGGATAAGACAGGATCATTTGGATTCGTTGTTTTTTTTTACATACTGAAGTAGCTTCAACCGACATTAGGCCTCAAGCAGTTTCCACCATTACTTGATGATAAAAGTCATCGCCCTGTTCCGTGGACATTTGTGGTATGGTGTTGGGATGCACGAGTCGGAGCGAGTACTCTTGGCAACTTGCTTCGTGGCCACATAAAGGAACAACCCCTATTTCTGTTTCGACCGAGCTGCTGCCAAAAAGGAACAACATCTGCGCATTAGGTCCTTTGTCTACCCCGGATCGGAAGAAGATAGCCTGGCGAGTGGTAAAGTCACCCATTTTTTAAGGTACTGATTAAGTATTTTTTTATATAATATTACTAGAGAACTGCTGAGGTTTGTGATATAGAACCTTTTTTTATAACGCCTGTTGAAAATCATTTCAGTGTTTATTTTTCAACATTTCATATTTTTTTGTTCGACTAAGGGTGGGGTGTACAATGTGCCGTAAATCTGAAGATTTTTTTGAACCACAAACTGAAGTTTTAACTGAAGATATCTGAAGTTTCGGTGTACAAGCATCTAACAATCCAAGGTTAAAATAATCTCAATATTTGCCATGTTGGCTATACTGTTTTGAGAACTGCCACTTCATAGTATTCATGAAAGATAAAGAAAACAACAGCATTAAACAAAGAAGGACGGGGTTTATGTTGATTTTTGATGTTTGACACTTTTAAATTTTAAAAATTAATCTGCCATTTTGTTCTATGTTCTTGTGCTTATTTGTTTGATTTTTGATTTGTTTGTTGAGTGTTATATTAATTTTTAGTTATTAGTCACAGTAGTTATTAGTGTATTATTATTGGTTTTTTATTATTATTATTTAAATATTTGGAACTACTACCGAAAATAAAAGGTAATTAATTAAAGTAAAATAACTGAAGGTTAAGTTTAAAATAAAATTTTATTAGGTAGGTATGACAGCTTCACAAGAAAAATATGGGAAATTTAAAGATGCCGAAGTAGATGTTTTAATGCTCGTGGTCGACAAATACAAGGGTATAATTGAAAATAAACAGACGGATGCCGTTATGTGCCTTGGTTAAACTTACTGAGGAGTTCAATGCCACAAGTGGACACTCATTTAGAACCCTAAAAAATATAAAGGGAAAATACGAAAATATAAAAAAAATGCTGAAAAGAAGTTTTCCGTCGAAAAGCAAAATATTTACAAAACAGGTGGGGGCATTCCAGAACCTGTTAATATTACCAATATTGATGAAAAGGTAAAAGAGCTCTTGGGGATAAATGTTCACGGCATGGTGAATAAATTTGATGGTGATACATTCAAATTTGAAATTATGAATGTACCATCAACTTCAAAAGCTGAAGAGACAAATTGGGCACATTGGTCTCCAAAATTGTTAAAAACCCCAATTTCTACTCCATTGTCAGAAAGCAACCGACCATTGAAGTAATGAAAGAGACTGAGCAAGAAAGAAATAATGAATTAGTGGAAGTTGAAGAAGTGGAGGTCGAAGAAGAAGAAAAAGAATTTTCAATTTCCTGTCCTAAAAAACATACATTACCAAGTTAGTACCTATTATGTTCATTTTCTTTATTTTTCGGACCCTGTTAGATACTGTACTTTTTATTTCATATTCTTTTTTTTTAGAGTGTCAAACAAAAATAATTAGAAAAAAAACCAGCTTACGCAAGATTGCAGGTTGAAAATAAATGTTCTCTCTCAGGCTAAATTAGAATTAGTAAATATTCAAGCAGAAGCTCTGCGTGAAGAAATGCAGTTTAAGAGAGAGGAACATTTACAAAAAAATAAAACTCCGTTTACAAAATGAACTTTTGAAAAAGCAATTGTTAAATTAAAAATGTATTTAATAAAGTAGTAGTATTTGGGTTTAAAAAACATTTTATTTTTTTACTCGATAGAAAGTTTATTAAAATATAATTTATTAAAAAATGCCAAAATAGTTGTTTATTAAATCTGTTCTAACATTATTGCCGTTATCATTGCCATTTTCATTGCCATTAATTATGACTTCATCATCATTATGAATATCTAAATTAATTTCTTCTTCATCAGGTACAGGATCATTCTGACTGATTGTAATATTATGCAAGATTGCCGTTGCAACAATTATGTGTAGAATTCTTTCAACTTTCACTGTTAATCCTTTTGACAAACAAGGAAACCTCTTTTTCCACACTCCATATGAACGTTCTACAACATTTCTGGTTCTTATCTGCGACTCATTATACAAGTTCTCAGCTCTTGTAACTGGATTATTTAAGGTAGTCATTAAAAAAGTCTCCACATTGTAACCCGAATCTCCTAATAAGCAATATCCTTTATAATTTAATTCTATTACCATTCAAAGACGGCTATTATTAAAAATCAGCTGATCATGTGCAGAACCAGGCCATCTGCAAACGATATGTGTTATTTTTAAGTTTGCATCTGCTACAGTCTGAACGTTAATAGAAAAATAACCTTTTCTATTTCGGAATCTTTCAGCATCATTTCCTCCTAAAATTAATATATTTAATAAAATACTAAATAACTATATTGAAAAGTTTTTCATTTTAAATAACAAAATGATTTTAATTAAAACAAGATACTTAACCAATCTATCACATAAATTACAACAATATTCATATACAGATTTTGATTTAACCTTATTTACTGTTAAAAGGCCAAAATAGAAAATAAGCAATGTCCCAAGTTAACTAAATTTACTTATTTCTTTCCTAGTTACTAAATTAAATATAAATGTAGTTACCAGGAGACTGAATCCGAACATGGGTGCATTCAATGGCTCCAATAACTTTAGGAAACCGAGCTATTCGGTGAAATTGCACCTGAGTTAAAGAAATTCCTTCTCGTGTGGTAGGTAATTTTATGTATTGACCTGCCAATGAACATATTGCTCTTGTTACTTTGTTAATAATTCTGGATGCTGTTGACTTGTGGATACCAATAAAATCGGCTACACACAATATTATCGAACCCGAAGCATAAAATCTTAAAGTTAACAGTAACTGCCTTAAAGGATCTACTGCCCGATTCCTGTAAAAATAAGTTCATGAACACTAATTTAAGACTTTTATCACTAAACTTACCTTTTTGTTCTATAACGAATTATAGGTTCAATATGTTCTAAAATTATTAGAACAGAATCTTTGGACACTCTAAATCTATTGATAAACTCCTGTTCATCCCACTGACGCATGTGATTTGGTCTAAATCGAAAAACTTTTGGGCGGCGCGGCCTTTCAATAATATTGATGACTTCTTCGTCGTCTGATATATCTTCGAAAATTTCAAAAATATCCATTTTTATATTTTGTAAACACCAACACACATTTAGTTTAGAGGTTAGATTCAATAGATTCTTGGCATTACTCTCCTAGTGCGCATGTATAAATACCTATAAACGCCAATCCTAAGTTTTACGGACGCACAATCCAACGTTTGACGATTTCTTACAAAATCAATAGATTTACGGTCGCAGTATAACTTGTACAACGCTGATTGTTACAAATCCTAAGATTTACCAACAAACTTCAAATTTACCGTATATTGTACAACGGAATTATTTATTTATTTATTTATTCATTTATCCTAACAGGCCTATTGGCCTAATTACAAGGATAATTACTATTAAATAATTACAATATACGTGCCTACCACAATTTACATAATTTTGATACCAGAACACCATGAGAACAAATAACATTACTTGCTTAAATGGACATGTTTGTAATTGGTTTAATAATATTTTTTTTAAATGTATTATATTTCTCATACCAGTCTATATCTTCTAAATTGTTTATACCATTGGCTAAGCGAAGAATGATCAGGAGGGGAGCTCTGGATGTAATCGTGGCAAAAGGAACAATAAACATATTTGAGTTACGCATGGGACGTGATGGAACACAAAATGGTATTAGGGCTAACAGATCTGAAGAACATATTTGATTATTGATTATTTTATACAAAAATAAGGTGCATGTGATTTTGCGTCTAGTCTCAAGAGAAGGTAATTTAAAATCTATTCTTAATTGTGATGTTCTAACAACATTGTAATCAGGTCTAATATGAAACTTTTTAAAGTAAAGATATCTTAAAAATTTATTTTGTATTTTCTCTAATTCTTGTAAAATGATTTGGTATTCTCCAAGCCATATAATTGAAGCAAACTCTAATTTTGAACGGATTAACGAAATATATAAAATTATTAACAAATTAATATCAGAAAATGGCTGCGTTTGTCTCATTAAAAATCCCAGAGCACGATTTGCTGCTTTACAAGTATTCTCAATATGCGTAGAGAATGATAATTTAGAATTGAATGTTACCCCCAAATCTTTAACTTGAAAGCACTTTCTTAATGACACACTTTCCATTTGATAGTCAAATATAATCGGTTGCTTTTGCCGGGTAATAGTCATATAATAACATTTGCTGATGTTAAATTCCAATTTACATTTTTGACTCCATTCGTATATAGCATTTATATCTTTTTGCAAAGAAACGCAATCGCGTACTGTTTGAATTTGTTTATAAATTTTAAAATCATCAGCAAAAAGTAAGCATCTCGAGTATTTAATCACTTTTGGCAGATCATTGACAAATAACAGAAACAATAATGGACCTAAATTGGAACCTTGCGGCACTCCGGAAACAGCACGGAATCTGCTAGAATGTAATGGTCTAAACATTAATCTTACTTGGGTTTTTTTTTTAATTGTTTTCTATAGACTTGTTGAGAGCTTGAAACACCATAAAATATCTACGGAAAAGAGCACCACACTGTCCTAAAAACTTTTGAAATTATAATTTTAAGTATAATGCTATTTTTGTAAATAAGTATATAAAGTTAGGGAAATGTCTGTATTCGAATAGCTTGATGGTTGATTATAAACCCCTTTAGGGTTGTAGAACATCTTTACCAGCTTACCTGTTGTATAGGTAATTCATATTCAAAGGCTGATGTCTGACAATTTAAATGAAATCGTAAAATATAATTAACATCCAACCAGCAAAGAAAATGAATAAAGATTGAATATGAACTCAAGGTATTTTATTTAGTTATTTTGCAGGTTTCACTCTCATTCAATTTTTTACAACTTTACAAGACATTGTTCTTGCAATCATCTTTTCTAAATTTCTGCTTCTCAAATCTAGTGGCGCCTCCGGGTACTCTTTTGATTTGAATTTTAATATTAAGGTAACTGCAGGTAATATGGCCATGTAGACCAATATGGCCATGCCTTTCATTTCCTACTAGAAATTTATTTACAGCGATCTGCAACACCAAATGCTTAACTTAGTCTAAAAAGTACCCGAGGAAATAGATAGATGTCGCTAGATGGCCTGCAATATATTCATTGGCGCCATAAGCGTATTTGGTGGTAAGAGTGTCAACAGGTTATTAACACAGTTAGAGTAAAAATCATAATTTATTTGCTTAATCTGGTAAGTTTTTGGTTTCTCTCTTATGTTGTACTTATGTAAGAAGTGTGGGAAAGAGGATAGGCATGTTAGTTTTTCGTTTATTTATCTTTTTAAAGTTAATATTTTGGTAAACATTTGTGGATATCATTGTATAGCAATATGGCCAGGGGGAAAGTAGAGCAATATAGCCATGGCCATATACCTCTACACGTGGTAATATTAATGAATCAAGACACTGAATCAAAGTATTTTGCAGGTATAAAAAAATGCCACGTTACCAGTGTAAAGGATTGCGTAGTACATGGGCTACAGAGAATTTGTCTGCGGCATTAACGGCGGTAGGGGACGGTATGGCAGTTAAGAGAGCAAGTGATACATACAAAATACCACGAAGAACACTTAGACGGTATTTAGAAGAAGGAAATAAAGATAAATCAGCTTTAGGACGAAAGACAATACTTACAAAAATACAAGAAGAAGAATTGGTTCAACGAATTATTCGGCTTTCAGAAATTGGATACCCATTAACCCCAAGAGTTCTTCGCAGATGCGTTTACCGATTTACTCAAGCTAATAATATCCCAAATCCTTTTCAGAATGCCAAAGAAATGGCTGGTCGTTACTGGCTTCGTCGATTTATGAAACGCAATCCCCAAGTTAGACCTAGGCGAGCACAAAACTTAAATCAAGCTAGAGCCCAAAAAATGAATAAGTTCATTGTAGAAGATCATTTCACAAAGCTAGGCAATACTTTGAGAGAAATGAACATTTTTAACCAGCCTGAACGGATCTACAATATTGATGAGAAAGGCTGTAGATTAAGCCTTCACCTCCAACAAAGAGTTCTGGCGAAAAAAGGGGCAAGAAGGGTGCATATTGTGGCCAATGAGCATGGAGAGAATGTAACAATTGTTTCGTGTGGTAATGCTCTTGGTTCATCAATACCTCCTATGGTGCTTTTCAAAGGAAAACGTCTGAAGCCAGAATGTGTTGACTCCCTACCTCCAGGGGCAGTTGTGAATATGACAACAAAAGGGAGTATGAACATCGAAACTTTTTGTGCTTGGATTCATCATTTTGCAAAATTCAAGGTTCCCGGACCTTGTCTAATTATAT